TTTTTTTTTTTTAATTTTTTAAATTTATTTATTTTTCCTCCAAAGCCCCAGTAGATAGTTGTATGTCATAGCTGCACATCCTTCTAGTTGCTGTATGTGGGACGCGGCCTCAGCATGGCCGGAGAAGCGGTGCGTCAGTGCACGCCCAGGATCCGAACCCGGGCTGCCAGTCGCGGAGCCCGCGCACTTAACCGCTAAGCCATGGGGCCGGCCCAGAGCATGGTTTTGAGAACGTGGCACAGGTATCAGGCTGTCTGAGTTCAAGTCTCAGCTCTGCCACTCATTGGATATGTGACCTTGGACAAGTTTTCTAACTTCTTTATTCTGTAATTTTTTCACCTGATGCTAATAATAGTAGATAATAATAAAAATAATAGTAATAATAATTCAGAGAGTCTCTGAAAGGACTAAATGATACAATGCAGGTGAAGAGTTTAATACAGTACCTGACTTGCCACGTATTAAACCTTAAATCAATGATATCAATAACCATTATTAACTAGAATCATTTGGAAAGATTGCAGATCAGAGCACCAGGAGGAAAGGAACACTTTACTAAATGCTTTACATATAATGACTCATTTTAAGCCTGATAACAACCATGAGAGGTAAGAATTACCATTATACCCATTTTATAAATGAGGATAAAAAGGCTCTGTGGGATTAAATGGCTTACCTAAAGCCCTGTATCTAGCAAGTAGTGGAGCCAGAATCAAACTCAGTCTTGTTGGGCACTAAGCCCATGCTGTTTCTACCACGTTTTGCTGATATCCAGGGCCAGATTGAGATATGTAGAGATCCTACCCACTAAAACAGTATCCTCACCTCATGTAAAAATAAAAACAATTAAAAATCAAAACAAGTGTAAGAAAGGCCAACAGCTGTTTATTTTCTCAGATGACTACAATTTAAAAAAATAAAATCAAATTCTTTCCAAACAATTTGTTCAATGCTATTTTGGTGCCATAAGCACATGCCTGAGGCTTATCCAGTGTCCAAAGATGGAGTATTATTAGGAGGCAGTGTCCTGTGGCTTCCTGCCCTGGCCTCCCTAACTTCAGAGGAGGCCTGCACTGGTGTGGCCAGGAAATTGTGCAAGTTTTAGGAAGTATTATGTGAATGCCTTAATAATAGCAAATTATTAGTAATAGCACTGATGGTATCAATATAAATAACACTGGCAGCCATTTATTATACACATGTATCAGGCACTTTACAGACACTTGCTCATTTAATTCCCACAACGACTATGACTATTTTACCAGTGAGGAAACTGTTTCTAGAAAGTTAAATTATATCCCAAAGGACATACAGTTGGTATCAGACTTGAGATCAGAACATTTCTGTCTGATTCCTAAACTCTTCCACTACACAGAGCTTTTCAAAGTCATCCAGTGAGTAAATGATAGCATAGGAAGTACAGACTAGGCTAAGTACAGTCAGGGGCCTTTCCATTGCATCTCCCTCCTTCTCGAAGGGTCATCCACAAAGCATGTTCTATAACCAGGAGTTAATGGGAGCCCCTCAACCTCTCTTCCAAACAATCCATCTCAAATGCATTTTATGTTTTGTGGGGCCCATATTTAGAACTTGTAAGGAGTAGGATGGCTATGAGGAGGTGGCATATACGGCCTCAGGAGAGTTAAGAAGGAATAGATTTTTTTTCTGTACAGTATTTGGGAATATCTTTACCTCTTTAAAAGCTATGGTCTAAGGAATAATGCCTGCAAAGCAAACCAGAAAACACCCTTCTTCCGCTATAACTCTGCATGAATGTTATCGTTGGTATAGGGTAGTGGGTAGAAGTATGGGTTCTGGAAGCAAATTACCAGGGCTTGAAACACAACCGTGCCCACTTGCTAGCTGCATGCAACCTTAAAAGCAAGTTTCTTATCAGGACATAATAATAATATCTATCTCCTACTTGTTGTGAGCATTAAATCAGATAGCATATGCAAAGTTATTTAGCACAGTGAGGTACACATAGAAAGGATTCAAAAGATACCATCATTATCACTGCCATCATCATCTACTTAATGCTCTTTGCTTAATTTCACTGTCTTGTGTATTAAACCAGCTAACATTTTACTCGATTTATTTAAAGTGTGATAATATGATGCTCTCAGTAAGGGTTATGGTCCTTTTAATAGAGGACGAATTGAGAAAAATCCAACCAAATAGTATTAAACTAATGAACAGCCTATTTTATCCAAAATAACCAGGTTTCACCCTATGAAATAGGAAGGAGGCAAAAAACCTCTTCATTGGTGGTAGGGTTTTAATATTGCTGGTGGTACATTGCTGGATTGAGTGGACTATAACTTTTATCTATGTATTCACCTCTCCATGCATCCATACACTTGTCCATTTAAAAAGCACTTGAGGAATACCCTCTGTATTCAAGGAACTGAGCTAAATCCTCGGGGACCCTCTCGCTATGCCACAGGAAAAGGTATAAGTAGCAAGTGTTGACTTTCACAGGGAAGCTGTGAAAATTCTTGCTAAGGTAGTCAAAGCCACTAACAACCAAAAAATAACTCCATAAGGGCTCTGATGCCAAGCTATTTAGCTCTAGGCCCCAAAAGGGTTAGTCACCAAATTTAGAGTGAAGGACAAACACTAGTGTTTTAATTCAAAGTGGTATATAAGATTAAGAATAGGGTAAATCATGACTAAGGAAGAGTTAAGCATTAGTGAGGAAGGTACCAAAATGTGTCTTTGATATCTTTAAAGGTTAGTCCAAAATATTTGCTTTACATATATATTTATAATATGTGTGTGTATATATTTGTATTAAAGTATAACACACATACATCCATAAAAATGTATACATCATAACTATGCAGTTTGAAGAATTATCACAACTTCATCTCATGTAACCACCATCCACACCAAGAACTAGAACTTTACTACCCCCCAGAAGTCCCCTCATGCCCCTTCCCAAGGCTACCCTCTCATTCTTCTCAGGGTAATAACCAATACTCTGCCTTCTAACAGCAGAGATTCATTTGCCTGTTTTTGAACTATATACATGACATTATACAGAATGGACTGTTTTGTGTCTGGCTCTGCAGCTCAATATTGTGTTTCTCATATGAAAATATACTCAGTTTTCTCAGTCACCAGGAAATAGTAATTAAAATCACAAGAAGATTCCATAATATCTGGTGTTGGCGAGGACATAGAGCACTGGATCTCTCATACCCTTCCGGTGAAGAGTAAATCGGTAAATCACTTTAGAAAACTGAGTGGCAGTATCTACTAAAAGCTATTTATTGGCTTTCTGGACATACTCATTTGTGAAGTTCTCGTTTTAAGATATTAGAAAAAGAATTAAAAGACAGCAAAACAAAGCATAAAGGGGACATTAATTAAGATAAAAGTAAAAATTAATTAAATAGGAAAATAATCAGAGAAAGTAAAAATAAAAGCAAACCTAGTTCCTTCAAAACTACTGTAATGCTAATAATACCTTGTAAACCTGTTTAAGATGAGAGAGAGACAGAGACAGATAGACAGATAAGATGCCTGAGATTAGGAATAGGAAAAGAGATAAAATAACATAAATAGAAAAAAATTATAAAAGAATATTACCATGAAACACGCTAGTGAGTTCAGAAACAGATCCATACACGTTTGGATACTTGATTTATAACAAAAATAACATTGGCAAGAAGTGAGGAAAGGACAATGTTTTCCATAAATGATGCTGGGTCAACTGGATAGTGAGCCACATGGAAAATGTAAATCTTGACTGCTGCCTTGCACCATGCACAAAGTTAATTCTAGATGGTTCATAGATATAAATGTGAAAGGTAAAACAATAAATCTTCTACAAGATAACCTAGAAGAAAATCTTCATGACCTTGGGATAGGCAAAGACTTCTTAAACAAACAGTTTACAAAAAGCTCCGGGTAGAAATGATAAGGTTGATAAATTGGTCTATGTTAAAATTAAAAACTTTTGTTCGTTGACAGACATCATTAAGAGAGTAAAAAAGCAAGCCATAGAATGGAAGAGATTTTGCAATACATATAACCAAATTGCATCCAGAATATATAAAGAATTCCTACAAATCAAAAAGAAAAAGACAAATAATTCAATAGAAAAATGGATGAAAGACAAAATATATATATTCTTCATGATAAAGGAAGGGTGCTAATGTCCTTTCTAGGCAAACACATCTACGATGAATTTTCTTTGTTTAGGCCTTGTGACCACTATTTAGGGGCAGCACACCCATACTGGAGGAGGGCGACAGGGAGAAAGGCAGCTGGAACTATAAAAACTAAAGTTATGAAGTGACAGCTTTGGCCACAGGCTAAGTTAAAATAAGTGTGTTGGCCTGAGTCAGGCGGTTTAAGGGAAATGGAGCAAACAACTTGCCTCGGAGAAGACAGCTGCTGGCCTAACTCACTCAGTGTCTTAATTAAAGTGGCATCCATAATAGATGCTTCTGAGACATGGCCTACACAGAAGAGGAAAGAGAGGACTATTCCTGCAACTGACATCAATCAGCTTCATTCCGAAACTGACCATCTGTGCCACAATGGCACCTGTTTCCTACATGGTACAGCAGTCACGACCAGTATTCTCTTTAACTAAGACCCTTGTGTACAAAGATTTGCTATTCTTTAACACTTCAGCTGAAGCTTCTTTGCAAAGGAATCATTTACCCAGGTCAACCATTGATAGAATGGCTCAGCCACAGCACTTGACCTGTGGTCCCAGAATGACATCTTATCCCGTTTGATTCTCTCAACTACCTGGTGATGTGGACATTATTCCCCCACTCTATAAATGAGGAAGTTGAGGCCCAAGGAGTTAGATGATTAGTTAGATGTGTGAAGAGAACACAGTCAATAAGTAGAAGAACCAGTGCTCTGCTCTGAGGTTTTCTGGGTCCAAACCCTGTGCTCTTTCCATACAACCACATTGAGTGACTGGGGGCTAAATGGTGAGGGGCGAATGGAACGTGATAATGCAAGAAATCACATACCTGAAATACCGAAACCGATGATGAGTGCAATTGCTGCAGCCAGAATAATGATGATGCTAATAATGCTATGGAAAGATAGACAAACAGGAAATTACTTCTTCATTCCATTTGACATGCTGCTTTGCGACCGGGGTTCATATCTGTCATTTGAGGGAGGTGCTACATAAACCATCTCAACTTTTCTTCAATATAAGCCTCTTCCTAGAAAGAGGTACTTTAGAAAGGAATCTCAACAATTCCATCACCGAGGAGTGGCCTTTTGTATGCATCATTGTATGCATCATTTTACTTTCCTATTTCCAGATCAGGAAAGACCATAAACAAAGACTGTTGGGGCAAAACTGATGACATCTCTGCAATGCCAGGTGCCACTTGCAGGAGACTGGTTCCATACTCAGTCCACTGTAAGCATTACTGCCCATCTCTCTTGTATCATTAATCTACCTGTCTTGTTTCTTTCCATAGACTTTAAAGATTTTATTTATTTATTTTTCCCCCCAAAGCCCCAGTAGATAGTTGTATGTCATAGTTGCACAGCCTTCTAGTTGCTGTATGTGGGACGCGGCCTCAGCATGGCCAGAGAAGCAGCGCGTCGGTGCGAGCCTGGGATCCGAACCCGGGTCGCCAGCAGTGGAGCGCGCGCACTTAACCACCAAGCCACGGGGCCGGCCCTCCATAGACTTTAAACTCCACTAAGTATCTTCACTTTGTATCCATTCATCCTTTGTCCACTGCACCCCACAGATCCTCAACAGGAGTTTGTTTTCTCTTGTTAAAAAATACGTCTTTATTACAGAAAGTTTAGAAAATAAAAATAAGCCAAAATAGGACAACAAAATCACCTGTAACTCCATCATCCAGAAACAACCACGGTTAACTCTTTGTTATGCATCCTGCCAGTTTTCAATGAACAGGTTAACAAATGACATTTGGGAAATAAACAAGTAAGGAAGTGTTGCTTACATTTACTGAGTGCTAGAATTATGTTGTTCTAGGCACCATTTATGGATTATATCATTTATCCATTTAATAACCTTATGAGATTAACCTTAACAGATTTATCATCTCCATTTTACAGATGAGAAAATTACACGGGGACATTAAGCATCTTTCTTAAATTCACACGGTTGGTATGTGGCAGACCTGGCATTAGAATCTGTCTCTGGAATCTGCACTTGACTACTTCCTACACTGCCTCCCAAGCCTGGAGGCTCATAAATGGGGCATGTCCCTTCTCTCTGCCCCAGGGAACCCATGAGGGGATTCCAGCATTAGCTAATGAGAGTGACTCAGGCAGAACAGAAGGCCCAGGTCAGAGCTGGTGTGTTGGCAAAACGGTTCCTGGGAAGCTTGCCCATTGCTGCCTGCCCTGATGCATAAGTCATCAGGCAGGTTTCCTTGGCCAGACTCTCTCATTGCTGGCAATTCACACACTGCCCACACCCATACTGATGTTACTCAATAGACAGGACAAAAGAAAGGCACAGAGAGGCAAAGAACGATGCTATAGAGAGAGAAGGGAAACACGGGGCATTTTACTTTCTGCCCTGAATACATTCATTGTACCCAGCTCCCCTTGGCTCAGGGATGGGCCCACTAGAGAGAAACAACAGACTTATAAGAAACAATTTGAGTAAACAATTTCCCCTGGAGGTCAAGCCTTCATGAAGTGCAGCCATAGGGGCAGCAATTGAATAAGCAAAATGAAGCTTTTACTAATAGGGCATCTGTAATTAATTCCAAGAGGAGATAACATTTGACGACTTCCCCTCTTTTTACACACCTTGGTGCAGCCTGAGTTCTTACCAGTCCAAGTGTGTGAGAACAGATAGACAAACTCCTAGCAAGAGGCACTGGCTGGCTCTTCTTGACTACTGAGCCAGAGAGCAGACTTGCATTTGTGATCCAGGGTTTCACTTACCTTGGGTAAATTACTTCATCTCTCTGAGACTCAGTTTCTTTATCTTTAAAACGGGAATAAGAGTAAGGTGGTTGAAGTGTATCCCTTCAAAATTCATATGTCGAAGTCCTAACCCCCAGTACATCAGAATGGACTCTATTTGGAAACAGAGTTGTTGCAGATGTCATTAGTTAAGATGAGGTCATACTCAAGTAGGGTGGGCCCTGAATCCAGTATGACTGGTGTCCGTATAAAAAGGGGAAATTTGGACACAGACATGCATACACACAGGGCAAACACCAGATGAAGATGAAAGCACAGCTCTATAAGCCAAGGAACACCAGAGACTGCCCCAAACCACCAGAAGCGAGGGGAGAGGCAGGGAACAGATTCTCCCTCACGCCCTCAGAAGGAACCAACCCTGCCGACACCTGGACTGCTGGTCTCCAGAACTGTGAGACAATACCTTTCTGTTGTTTAAGCCACCCAGCTAGTGTAACTTCGTTACAGCAGCCCTAGCAAACTAATACAAAAGGATTGTTTTAAGATCAAATTTGACAATGAATGTTGCATAAAGGGCTATTTATACATTACTTTTTACTATAAAAAAGTTTACTTGTGGCTATTTGCTTTAAGTTTATTATTAAAAGCTCCAGCTTTATTATTAACCCTGGAGAATAATCCAACTGATAATAATAAAAATATCATAGTATTTTGATACATCAAAAATACCATGTACCAGGCTGGTGCTAAGTGTTCAATGTGCATTTTCTCGTTTGCTCAAATTATCAAGTCCTATTATCTCCTTAGTTCTCTCGTATCCCTCCATTTCTGTCTCCACTGCTCCTGGTCACCCCCATGTCTCACCAGCATTATTGCAACACTCTCTTAACTGTTATCCCTGCTTGCAATCAGGACCTCTCCAACCCATTCTTCACACTACCAGAATCAGTGGTGACTTCAGAATTTCCATATAAGAGCAGCTTAGGGGAGACAACCTGGTTGAAAGTGGGGGCTGGAGTGATCACTGAAGTGGTGTAATGCTGTTATCACAAGCATGGCTTCTGGAACCAGCTTGCATAGGTTCAAGTCTAAGCACCACCACTTACTAATTGTGTGACCTCAAGTTTCCATTCCTTCTTGTGAAGATAGAGTTAACACATTTTAAAACATCACTTAGAATAGTGCCTGGCGCATAAGAAGCTTCAATAAGTAATAGCTATTCTCATTCTTGTTTTTCTGCTATGGTTATATAACAAGCAATGCTTCTAACTTAGAATATATTCTTCCTTGGTGGTGCTGATGGAAATTGTTGTGGAGACTACCCCTTGGTTCAGCAACTGAGCTATTGGTAAGAATGATTACAAAACTGATCACAATATTCCTCTGCCCTAAAACTTCGAGTGCCTTTACATTTCCCTCACGATAAAAATCCACTGTCTGATGTAGTCCACATGGCCTTTCAGTGGGGTTCTTGCCCTCTCTCTCCAGCCTTGCCTCTCTCCACTGGGATGCTACACACCAGCCACACTGAACCATCGTAGATCGCCCCTGCCACAGGCCTTCACATATGCTGTTCCCTACCCTCTCTAAGGAGGGGGCTGGACAGCAAGGACACTGAACAGTTAGCTGGACACATACCCACAGGAAGGGGACAGTGGAGGTTGTGAGTTTCAGCCAAAGCAGCTGAGCCTGTCTCCCTCACACCCAGGCCCCTATGTTTCCCTCGTTGTGGAAGCAGAACCCTGATGTTTGTCAGCAAGTTCTCTATCTAAGCGGAATCACCTTGAGATTTGTTCTGAAAGGGTATTCCCTTGGGAAACAGCTCAACCTCCAGAGCCTTGGGAAGAGAAGCAGGAACTATCAGAGCAGACAAATTAAATAATTCCTGTCTGCTGCTTATTAAATTTTTAAAAAGATGAATAAAATATTTCACGTAAGTTGTTGTTACATTGCTTTTTGGTTTTTACTTCCCCAGAATAATTTCCAATAACTATGCTACAGGAAATTTTTAATGCAGAACTGTATCTTCTAACTACTGATTGGAATTCATAGTGCACATTTGTTAGGCACTCCTTACAAAACGGCCCAGACAAAAGTCAATGCTTTTGGTGGATTTGCTCATTTAGTAAACATTTATTAAGTACTTCCTATGTGAAAGATGTTGTGTTGGGCGATATGGAGGAAATACAGAGATGAATTAACAAAGTGCCTGCCCTCAAGACTTAGAGCGTAATTGAGGTAAAACACACACATGCACAAACAACATGCACGGACATACATGCACAAGCGCACACACACACCACTGTGATAACACAAGACGGATGTGGTCAGGGCTTCAGTAAAGAGAAGAACAAGTTCTCACAGGAATTCTAGGAAGGTGTGAGGTATTTAAATCTGAGAGAGAGAATCAAAGTGCATTTCCATGAACAAATTTCAAAGAAAGTAAAGAGAAAAGATTTATTCAGAAATATATTTAGCTAATTCATGCTGCTACCCACTCTCTCTCCAAGGCAGAAGGACAAAGAACAGTGGTCATTTCTGCTGCACCTGACAAGGTCAGAACCCAAGGCTCACACTTCATTGCTCTGGGCTGTGAGAAGGTGTTTCAGGGGCTGCAGAACTCAGAGGCTTCCAGGGGCAGGACCAGCCTTGCGGCCTGGGATTGTGCCCAACACATCCACACTACCCGATGACGGCCTAGCGCAGTTCCCTTACGTGTCTGCTTCAGCTGCTGCTGCCTTCCGCAGCACTTGAAAGAAATTAGGCGTTTCTGTTAAAACATGATGTGCGCATTCCTGAAAAACCTCACGTTGTACAAAATCGCACAATAAAAGTAACAGGGCTTAGGGGAAAAAGTAGGGTTAAGGACAGACTAGTCAAAACTCCTACGTGACTTTGTAAGGTGTCTCCTAACAGAAACAATCATTGGTATCTCAGGAGATAACTTGGACAGCCAAAACAGGTGGCTTAGTGGTGCCAGAAGTTGCTTCAGGGGCTATTAAAATTGCACGGAAACCATTGAGGGGCAACTCTGACTTAGGAGGCTGTGAGCCAGTGAGGTAGCTGTGAAGGTGGCCACAGGTGGAAGGGCAGACTGGGATGTGCAAGACTGAGATGTGCTTCTCTGGAGACGGAGCCCCAAGTGCAAGTGTTCATTTAAAT